CCCCCCCCCCCCCCCCATTAAATCCGCGCCTGGTTCATGTCATTCTTATGAGCATTTTTTAAACCTTTCTATCTCGGCATACTACTGGCTAAATATCTCGGCCTCTTGGTTTAAAGTATACATTTCAAGGTCACAGTGTCAAATGTGTTTTAAAATACGAATTCTTCTTAACAACCATCATGACCAAGAGTCACGATTCTTGGTTTGTAGTGTACTTGGTAAAGGTTTGTCAAGTTTGTTCAAATTGATGACCCTAAGCTACTTTCATTGTCAAATTGGGCAATGTGTGCCGTAAAAAAATAATCTACTTCTTTTGAATATACAGGGGTCAAACTTTTAAACGACCTATACATATTATAGTGTCATAGTATTTAGTCAGTAACATACACAGGGGTGAGGGTTTAATATTTATTTCTTTGCTAAATGTAAACCTTGTAGATGTTCCGCTAGAAAGTCGCTTGCGCGATGTGCACTAACTGACGATTGATACATGTCAAATAGGCCTCTTGTGTTTATGCGACGAACTTTATTCGAGTTGTCCCCCCTTTGACCACCACACGTGTAATAATCTCGGTTGTGGAGTCTACTGCTGACTTCTGTACAGCTAGTGACATAGCTAGGTCTTTCGTAGTGTACGTAGCAGAATACAGGTAAGATCTAGCAGATTCGACAGTCAAGATAACGTTGATGATAATGTTTTAATTCTCATGTATTTTAACTAATTTTGTTGTCGTTAAGAAATGGGGTCGCGATCGTGTCCCAATTTATACAGTTGCCTACTAGCAATACATATGCATATCTGCATATTTCGCTAACTCTACAATAATCTTGTCAAATTTTACACAATGGCAACACTAACCCTAGGCCACAATCACACGGGTTCGCGTCCTACTGTCATATCCCTGTGTATCGACCAGTGTCGATGTCGAACATTTATTATATTCCTTGCGTAAATATGGTTTAGATTTTAAACAACATGTTTTAGAGGGACCGATATAACGTTAGGGACTTGCGGTAGTACGTATGTAATATGTATCACTGATTAAATCAGAGAATCTATCTAGATGTTAATATTTATTTTCATATTTTGTTTTGGTTGTTGTTTCATTTTCAAAAACAATTGCCATCAACTAATAGTTTGTACTGAATGTCTGAATTGATGAAATACCCCAAAAGGAACCCCACAAACATGAAGGTGTGTCTGTTTAGACCAATAGCTATGTCTATTGTGTTAAAACGGTGAAGGTTAAACAGAGGATAACAAAAGACACCAGCATGTTAATTAGACTCTGTTTGTGTCTATGAAAACATTAATATCATTTCATTGTCAGCAAATAAACACATAACAAATATTTGACTATTTCCCTATTAGACATGCATGGGGAGCATTTATCTAGCTGCATTTATAACACACTCTCTCTCGGACTCTCCTCGAAATAAATGTTCCCTCTGTTAACTACTTTCTACTCCACTTTAGTGCTGGCGGACGGTTGGGTAAGTCTTGTTGGTCGGGATTGTCTCAATCACCTGTTTAGCTCAGACTGTATCTGCCAGTACAAACCCAACCCCGTCTATCCTTCCACCTTCCTTCAATCTGTTACCTTATCCTTATTGAGTAACTAAGTAGATAAGGATTAATTATCATGTGATGTATATAGTCTCTCGTTGTCAGTATAATGTGACTGGGTGGGGCGTCCTGCTGGGTGTCTTCGGCAGTATGTTTCAGTGAGGTAGCACTATAAAGTCGGCATCAGTTCCGCGCTATCACAAGGAGACAAACACGAACATATCGCAGCCTCCCAAAATACACACACATACACTACACGCATGTATCTTGCACACAAGGGAGGCCGTCCTTAAATGACCTTAGCTGTTAATAGGACGTTAAACAAAATCAAACAAACAAACAAACAAACCATCACAGATCTAACCAGCAGCTTTCAAGTCTGCCGCTGTTAAACCTTCACCCCTATGTAACTTTAGTAGACTCTACCATGCATTGATCTGGATGAGTCCATTATGGTCTACTCTACAGTGGTGAAAGGTTGAAGGAAATTCCCTCCAGTGTGAATTAAGCTACAAGGCTACCGTAAATCCAAGTATGTGCAATTAAAATCGGCCACATATGAACATATAGCAGAACTGAACTGGGTTGTTTGCCTGTGACTATGATAGCTCAATTCGGTAGGGCATCTGGCCAGGAGTTCTCAGGGTCCTGGGTTTGAGTCCCAGTTTGGCTGAGTGCATTTTTCCTTTCCTGTGTGGCAGGTTTTAATTATTCACAGGATTATGGTCGCCCGCTAGCTTCAAGCTGATGGGAGTTTCCCTTTAGCTCAATCAGTAGAATAGCAGACTGGGATTAAGATGGAGGTTGCAGGTTTTAATGATCCCTAGTGGAAGCACACTGTACTTTCTGTGCTGTAAACCTGTAACACATGTTACATATGTACATCTATGCAATGACAGATATCAGATATATTAAATCAGAGGCCTAATAATGGTTTTATACATCTGTTTAGAAATAGTCCTATTATGATGATGTGGAATGGATGTTGGCTTAAATTGCTTATAAATTGCATTTACATGTATCTATGATAATATTGTTTCCTGTTAGATCTACTGTGTGTAGTTTTAACAAAATTGTATTCAATATGCCCTGCCTGTATTGTGTCTGCCAGAATTATAGTCACCTTACAATTACCTGGTACATGATATTCTCAGTTTTATTCTGATAATTTAAACAATCATCCTTAAAAGGTTAACACAACACTTTATCATTACGATAGAGGTGATTTTATGTGCCGTTTGAACTGTTTTAATCATTCATTTGAACATTTTTTTCTCAAAGGTGAGAGCTGTATCAATTTGACATACAAACGTGGCAGCTAGCTAGGTTTTAATTGTACATAGGATTGCAGTCCCCTGCTATCTTTATGCCAGTGGGTATTTCCCTTTGGCAGGTTGGGTGTTACTCCTTTGACTTACTATTTAGCATTTGCGAGATACCTTTGTATGTTATAGTTGAATACAAGGTATTTTGTTTGTTAATGGTTTAGGTTTTAATAATACGGTCAAGAAGCAATCATGCTTAAAAATAACACAGTTGGATATTTAAAGCTAAGGTTATGCAAGCACCTCTTCTCTCCTATATATATATATATTTTTTTAATAATTAATGTTTTCTAATTAAATTGTTATTATTGACTATTAAATTATTAATGATAATCGCTATATTCATCGTTAATTATTAACTGTGAACTCTCGGTTAAACGTTTTTCATTTATGACATTTTTCACAACATTTGAATCTAGATAAATTAGAACCATGAAAAAGTAGTGATTTAAGTTTTGTATTTAAATTGTTTTTTGGAAGCTTGCAATAGGTAATGAGATCTCCACTGAGATATCCAAGGAACACTTCATAGCTCTTTTAGAAAAAGTGCGTCTAAAAATGGTTTGTTTTTGTATAAAAGGACTAGACACGAAGTGAAAAAATTACCTGGTAGTATAAATTCCTCTACCATGTGTTGAGCTTTTGAAGAAGAAAGATTTATCTGTTTAACATATTCTGATACATCGTACTGTACAGCATATTTTTAGCTGGTTTTTCTTTTGAAATAATTAGACTGGAACAGTTTATGGTAATAAGATTTGTAATAGGATACAAGTCGGTAAACGCTGACTCGGTAGTGTCCCCAGGGTCCTCAGTTGAAAGTTACATTACTGAGTTTAGTGTGAAATCTGGTTTCAGATTAAAATTGCAAAATACAATTCCTTTTTTCTGCCCTTTATAGCTGCTAGAATAAGTAATCTGATCAGTTTCAAATACATTTGATTTCATTTTTGGTGAGAAAACATACTAGTACATTTATAAAATTTCTCTTTGCAATTAATTTAAAAGGTCACTGACATACATTATCACAGTGCACAAGTGTATAAACTATGGACAATTAACTTGGTCGTCCCTTCATACTTAACTGGACTTTTCCAGACATTGATTTGGTAAGGTTCAAATGAGACTTTAGGGGTGAATGGGTAAACAGTACACAGCAGACCTATTTTGGACTTCAATTCATTATCAACCTATGCAGCAAGACCTACCCTAGATTTTACTGCCGACCCTGTTCTGGGTCTGACCCTATTCTTGACAAATTAATAGCCATTGTAATGTGTGAAATGAATTGTAAAATTTGACAAAAAGCAAAATATTGATTTATGAAGATATAAAATAAAAATGAAAATAAAATTATTTGGGATGTTACCTGAAACACACATATATTTTTTTTTGGCCAAAGTAAATAACAACTACCCTGATTTAATGGTTTCAGTCTTATAATTGTTTGTTTGCTAATCCTTTCAAAAAGGAACTTGGTATTACATTAATATTACAGATTTTCATATTTTGTTGTCATGACAACTCTTGAACAAGTACATGTATAACATTACTGATCTTAAAGATTTTATTTACTAAGTTGTTAATTAAATATTAAACTAAAACTAGTTATTCGGTCAAAACATTAATCAAATAACCAGTATCCATATTTCATGTACTTGCATGCCATAGGTTCATTTTCAATGTATTTTTTTTTTTATATATATCCGTCAAGAAGGATACATTTATAAAGAATTTCAAATCACATACAACTGTGTTATGGGAATATTTTCAGTCATATAAGTTTACCATTATATTGTGACAGAACTTTCAACATGTTGAGTGGGATTAGGAAGTCTGTTTCCACGGCAGTAAGAGGGGCAGCCAGGAGGGCCACAGTTACAACAAGTGCTGCTACCAAGGGGACAAACAAGATTGGAGAGAAGTCAGAGGCAGTGTTTCATAAAGAGCAAAAGTATGGAGCCCACAACTATGGTCCAATTCCTGTGGCCCTGTGTCGTGGAGAAGGTTTGTAGTCATGTTCACATGACCCTGTGTCATGGTGAAGTTAGGCATATATCCCTACCCTATGGCCATGACCCTGTGTCATGGTGAAGGTTTGTAGTGATATCCCCACGGCCCTGTGCCATGATGAAGGTTTGTTGTTATATTCCAATGGCCCTGTGTTATTGTGAAGGTTTATAGCCATATCCTCTAGGCCCTGTGTCAAGGTGAATGGTTGTAGTCATATCCCCTTGGCCGTGTGTCATGGTGAAGGTTTGTAGTCATATCCCCATGGCCGTGTGTCATGGTGAAGGTTTGTAGTCATATCCCCATGGCCCTGTGTTGTAGAGAAGGTTTTGTAGCCATATCCCCATGGCCCTGTGTTGTAGAGGTCTGTAGTCATATCCCCATGGCCCTGTGTTGTAGAGAAGGTTTGTAGCCATATCCCCATGGCTTTGTGTTGTAGAGAAGGTCTGTAGTATATCCCCATGGCCGTGTGTCATGGTGAAGGTTTGTAGTCAAATCCCAATGGCGCTGTGTCATGGTGACGGTCTGTAATCATATCCCCTGGCCCTGTGTCATGGTGAAGGTCTCTATTCACATATGCCCATGGCTCTGTGTCATGGTGAAAAATTGTTGTCATTTACCCATGGCATTGTGTCATGTTGAAGGTTTTGAGTCATATCCTTCATGGCCATGTGTCATGTTGAAGGTTTGTAGCCATATCCCCAAGGCCCTGTGTTGTAGAGGTCTGTAGTCATATCCCCATGACCCTGTGTTGTAGAGAAGGTTTGTAGTCATATCCCCATGGCCCTGTGTCATGGTGAAGGTTTGTAGTCATATGAAGGCCATGTGTCATGGTGAAGGCCTGTAGTCATATTCCCATGGCCATGTGTTATGATGAAAGTCTGTAGTCATATCCCCATGGCTCTGTTTCATGGTGAAGGTCTCTGTAGTCATGTCCCCATGGTCTTTAGTCATGTTGAAGGTTTGTAGCCATATCCCCATGACCCTGTGTCATGGTGAAGGTCTGTAGTCATATCCTCATGGTCCTGTGTTATGGTGAAGGTCTGTAGTCATATCCCCATGACCCTGTGTCATGGTGAAGGTCTGTAGTAATATCCCCATGGTCCTGTGTCATAGTGAAGCTCTGAAGTCATACCCCCATGGCCCTGTGTCATGGTGAAGGTCTAGACATATCCCCATGGCCCTGTGTCATGGTGAAGGGCTGTAGTCATATCCCCATGGCCCTGTGTAATAGTGACGGTCTGTAATCATATCCACATGGCCCTGTGTCATGGTGAAGGTCTGGTGATATCCCCATGGCCCTGTGTCATGGTGAAGGGCTGTAGTCATATCCCCATGGTCCTGTGTCATGGTGAAAGTCTGTAGTCATATCCCCATGGTCCTGTGTCATAGTGAAGCTCTGAAGTCATACCCCCATGGCCCTGTGTCATGGTGAAGGTCTGGAGTCATATCCCCATGGCCCTGTGTCATAGTGAAGGTCTGTAGTCATATCCCCATGACCCTGTGTCATGGTGAAGGTCTGTAGTAATATCCCCATGGCCCTGTGTCATGGTGAAAGTCTGTAGTCATATCCCCATGGTCCTGTGTCATGGTGAAGGTTTGTTGTTATATTTCCATGGCCCTGTGTCATGGTGAAGGTCTGTAGTCATATCCCCATGGTCCTGTGTCATAGTGAAGGTCTGTAGTCATATCCCCATGGCCCTGTGTCATGGTGAAGGTTTGTTGTTATATTTCCATGGCCCTGTGTCATGGTGAAGGTCTGTAGTCATATCCCCATGTCCTTGTATCAAAGAGAAAGTTAATAGTCATAATATCCCCATTTTCTGTGTAATGGTGACGGTCTGTAATCATATCCCCTGGCCCTGTGTCAGGGTGAAGGTCTAGTCATATCCCCATGGCCCTGTGTCATGGGGAAGGTCTAGTTATATCCACATGGCCCTGTGTCATGGTGAAGGTCTAGTCATATCCCCATGTCCTTGTATCAAAGAGAAAGTTAATAGTCATAATATCCCCATTTTCTGTGTCATGGTGACGGTCTGTAATCATATCCCCTGGCCCTGTGTCAGGGTGAAGGTCTAGTCATATCCCCATGGCCCCGTGTCATGGTGAAGGTCTAGTTATATCCACATGGCCCTGTGTCATGGTGAAGGTATAGTCATATCCCCTTGTCCCTGTATCAAAGAGAAAGTTAATAGTCATATCCACATGGCCCTGTGTCATGGTGAAGGTCTCGTCATATCCTCATGGTCCTGTGTCATGGTGAAGGTCTGTAGTCATATCCTCATGGTCCTGTGTCATGGTGAAGGTCTAGTCATCTCCCCATGTCCTTGTATCAAAGAGAAAGTTAATAGTCATAAGTAGTCATATCCCCATGGCCCTGTGTCATGGTGAAGGTCTAGTCATATCCCCTTGTCCCTGTATCAAAGAGAAAGTTAATAGTCATAATATCCCCATTTTCTGTGTCATGATAAAGGTTAGTGGTGTAATTACGCCCCTTGACCCTGTGTCATAGAGAAGGTTAGTACCGTCAATAACTATAATAGTGCTTTCTCCATGGGCCTGGGAAAATATAACTGATATGTAGATATCCATGACCTTGATTGTGTATAGGGCTGTTGTAATCTGTATTAAGAATTGTTGCCCTTAGCTTAATTAGACATACTAGTATTCTATAAAGTTACATCAATTCTACAGCCCTCGGTGACTCTTTACTTAAACTTAATATTACTACCCTGTACTTTCTATCCTCTATCCTACTGTCAGCCAGGGAGAAACTATCATAGTTTTACCTTTGGGTGCATACATGTGATCTCGCCCCTGCAGGGAGTCTCTCTATACAAGTATTTACTTTTCAAAATTTAAAATCCCTCTAAAGAATCGGAATATCTCTAAAATTGGTTGTAATATGAAAAAAACTATTATGAAATGTGCATATAATCATCAATGATGCTCCTCTATTTAGACAGCATTTGATCAGTGGAAACTACATTGCTAAATATAAAGCAGATTCATCATTCTTGTTCTGGTAAAAGAATGCTTGCGATGAAAATCACCCAACCAAAGCAATCTGCTGATCTCCCTACCAGTGGAGAGAAAACTGCCTACTATTATGTTCCAAGGTCGTCACATGCATTTGAGTTTAATGCTTTGGACACCTTACACATGAGTGGTGTTCTGTCAGTAATAGTAACACATAATATTACAGGTGTGTTTGTGTGGGATGTGGAGGGTAACCGCTACTACGACTTCCTCAGTGCTTACAGTGCCGTCAACCAGGGTCACTGTCACCCTAAGATCATCCGCGCGCTCAAAGAGCAGGCCGATGTCCTCACACTCACCTCCCGGGCATTCTACAACGATGTCCTCGGGGAATATGAGGAATATATGAACAGCTTGTTTGGATATGACAAAGTACTGCCCATGAATACAGGTAAGGAGGTCACTCTCACTACTAATCGCCAAATCAATAAGTCATCATCATTTTGTACATTTAATACAAGCTGTTGTATATACACGTACTCGTACACATTTTACACCTTAGTGTACCTGTAATTTACCAGACATTTATCTGATGGAGTGAAATCATACTAGTACTTGAAAAGATAAACATATCACTAGTTATAGCTAGCTTTTGAAAATGTAAACAATGTGCTTACCAACCTAAAGAAAATATGATTTGAAAGCACTGTTAATGAGTATTGGTACAGATAAGCATTATACGAAGAGTCATCAATGTAGTTTATTGATAGTGTTATACAAGGATTTGTGATGAAGGTTGTGTGGATTACCAGGGAGTAATACATATTTAAGTATTGTACCAGTAAGGAGAGTTGTTGTAGGTGTGGAGGGGTGAATAGGGTAGGATGGTGAAGGGTAAAGACTGTAAATATCAGTGTAATACAATCATTGTTGAGGGTGGTCAATATACGTGTTATAAGATAATTGGTGAAGGGGGGGGGGGGGGGGGGGGGGGGGCGTGGTGGCCAAGTGGTCAAGGCGTTGGACATTCTACTACCTCTAGCCCTCCTACAATAAGTCACGGGTTCAAGACCTACGTGGGGCAGTTGCTAGGTACTGGTCATAGGTAGGTGGTATTTCTACGGGAATTCCAGCTTTCCTCCAACACAAAAACCTGGCCTGTCCTTAAATGACCATGGCTGGTAAACGGACGTAAAACACAAACAAACCAAACCAAAGTAGTAATTCCCTGTAAATATGTTATACAATGATTGGTGAGGATGGTTGTTGTAGGTGTGGATCAGGGTGGAGAGACTGCCTGTAAATGTGTTATACAATGATTGGTGAGGATGGTTGTTGAAGGTGTGGAGGGTGGAGAGACTGCCTGTAAATGTGTTATACAATGATTGGTGAGGATGGTTGTTGTAGGTGTGGAGGGTGGAGAGACTGCCTGTAAATGTGTTATACAATGATTGGTGAGGATGGTTGTTGTAGGTGTGGAGGGTGGAGAGACTGCCTGTAAATGTGTTATACAATGATTGGTGAGGATGGTTGTTGTAGGTGTGGAGGGTGGAGAGACTGCCTGTAAATGTGTTATACAATGATTGGTGAGGATGGTTGTTGTAGGTGTGGAGGGTGGAGAGACTGCCTGTAAATGTGTTATACAATGATTGGTGAGGATGGTTGTTGTAGGTGTGGAGGGTGGAGAGACTGCCTGTAAATGTGTTATACAATGATTGGTGAGGATGGTTGTTGTAGGTGTGGAGGGTGGAGAGACTGCCTGTAAATGTGTTATACAATGATTGGTGAGGATGGTTGTTGTAGGTGTGGAGGGTGGAGAGACTGCCTGTAAATGTGTTATACAATGATTGGTGAGGATGGTTGTTGTAGGTGTGGAGGGTGGAGAGACTGCCTGTAAATGTGTTATACAATGATTGGTGAGGATGGTTGTTGTAGGTGTGGAGGGTGGAGAGACTGCCTGTAAATGTGTTATACAATGATTGGTGAGGATGGTTGTTGTAGGTGTGGAGGGTGGAGAGACTGCCTGTAAATGTGTTATACAATGATTGGTGAGGATGGTTGTTGTAGGTGTGGAGGGTGGAGAGACTGCCTGTAAATGTGTTATACAATGATTGGTGAGGATGGTTGTTGTAGGTGTGGAGGGTGGAGAGACTGCCTGTAAATGTGTTATACAATGATTGGTGAGGATGGTTGTTGTAGGTGTGGAGGGTGGAGAGACTGCCTGTAAATGTGTTATACAATGATTGGTGAGGATGGTTGTTGTAGGTGTGGAGGGTGGAGAGACTGCCTGTAAATGTGTTATACAATGATTGGTGAGGATGGTTGTTGTAGGTGTGGAGGGTGGAGAGACTGCCTGTAAATGTGTTATACAATGATTGGTGAGGATGGTTGTTGTAGGTGTGGAGGGTGGAGAGACTGCCTGTAAATGTGTTATACAATGATTGGTGAGGATGGTTGTTGTAGGTGTGGAGGGTGGAGAGACTGCCTGTAAATGTGTTATACAATGATTGGTGAGGATGGTTGTTGTAGGTGTGGAGGGTGGAGAGACTGCCTGTAAATGTGTTATACAATGATTGGTGAGGATGGTTGTTGTAGGTGTGGAGGGTGGAGAGACTGCCTGTAAATGTGTTATACAATGATTGGTGATGATGGTTGTTGTAGGTGTGGAGAGTGGCGGAACTGCCTGTAAATGTGTTATACAATGATTGGTGAGGATGGTTGTTGTAGGTGTGGAGGGCGGAGAGACTGCATGTAAATGTGTTATACAATATGGTTGTTGTAGGTGTGGAGGGTGGAGAGACTGCCTGTAAACTAGCCAGGAAGTGGGCATACCAGGTCAAAAAGGTGCCAGCAGACCAGGCTAGAATCGTGTTTGCTGACGGGAACTTCTGGGGCCGCACCTTAGCAGCCATCTCCAGCTCCACAGATCCATCAAGCTATGATGGGTTCGGCCCCTACATGCCAGGATTCGGAATTGTCCCCTACAATGATATAGCCGCTCTAGAGGTAATACAATCTGTGTTTGTGCTCTTTCGTTTTCCTGTAATAAATGTAAATGTATAGAATTTTGCAGGTTTGTTTTAGAGAAAGCGTATTACATGTACTACCGAAGGAATCTCTCCAACTAATCTGTACATACAAGCAGTTACTAGTATTGCTCTGACATTGTAAGTTCTGAAACACTCTTGAACTTGTGATTGACCATTATAGTAGTTATGGTTTATATCTTTCAAAAAGGTGAATGAATGTCTGAAAATGATACAGCTTAAAACATGGTTAAAAGTGCATTTAAATGTTCTAGCAACAATTTAGTTACAGACCGCAAAGTGCTTTGTGTGTATGAGGTTAGGGCCAAGTTTCTGCATTCCTTGACACTCAGCCTTCAGAGGGTATAGGACAGGCTATCTGTCCAATAGGGAAAGTCTGAGGATTCCTCCATGTCCCTTTGCCATGGAAAAGTTCCATACTTTTGTGGTTACCATACTAATTCATTTAATACTTACCAAAAAACAACTACCGGTTACAGAACCCGGAGAAAATATGAAACCAACACGTCAGTGAGGCTCACCTGTCTAAGATGACGACTGAATGTTTTATAGAAAGAGCTACAGAACCCGAATACCTGTGCGTACATGGTGGAGCCTATCCAGGGAGAGGCGGGCGTGGTTGTTCCCGACCCTGGTTACCTGGTGAAGGTCAGAGAGCTGTGTGACAAGTACAATGTCCTCTGGATCGCTGATGAGGTACAGACTGGACTCGCTCGGACTGGCAAGTAAGACGGATTTCTCTGTGGGCAAATTCTAAATTATTGTATGCCTGATTCAGTGTAATAGTCACCATGGCAAGCTTGTAAGACATGTAAAGTGTACAAAAAACAAGTACACTTCAGGTTAATTGAAAATGGCTATTTTTATTCAAGGCAACATGTTTATATATATATATGTTTGAAAAATTGATCTTTGAAGGATTTTGTGCTTCACAAGACTTAGATAGGGTGCGAAAATGCCACCAAAGTGTATAGATCTGTTAAAATTATCATAAAGAAAGAATATTATCAAAATACTTTAGAGGGAGGCCAGAAGGGAAAGTGGTGGTTAAATCAATTTTGTTTTGAATTTTAATTACTTTTAAAACCAGATCTTATAATAATCATCTTCAGCAGGTCTAAAGTGCACGTCCCTATATAGCGTGCTAAATATAGTTACAAAAATCATACAACATTTGACCTCATCACCTCCTGCTAATGGTCAGCTTCCTCTCATAATAACAATATATATTAAATTAGTGTGGTACTTTAAAATTCAATGACACTGATAGAAAACAAACAAAGCATTACTAGGACTATCATAAATTACCTAAACAAAGTTCAATTTGTATTTATGCCTAATTCCAAGTAATTTATAATCACCATGGCAAGCTTGTAACACATGTAAATTACACAAAAAACAAGAACACTTAAATTGAATTGAAAATGTCCATTTTTATTTAAAAACGACATGTTTATATATATGTATAAAAACATTATGTTGAAAAGTTTTTTTGTGAAATGCACTTAACAAGTATTTAATGGGGTACGAAAACGCCACATGGATTACAATCCCCTAATAAAGTATTTCTGAGCCATATTGATCTTTTGTCTAATTTAGGTGGTTTTGAGAAACTGAGAGCTCATGTTCGAAGGACATTTTATCTCTTTTATTATTCTAACTCCCTTTTTATTTTAATTATTTACACATACAATGCGAATGCTTTTAAAATGAACCTTTTTATCTGATTTTATCTTCGCTACTCACATGTTTGTTAAAAAAAATCAAAAAAAAATCACCATGGCCCTAAATGACCAAAGCCGTTGATGGGCCGTTAAACATAAACAAACAAACAAAATTCATCTTCAAAACGTTCTGTTTAAGATTCTCTTTTGCGCAGATACATTATGTAGCACTTCAGACCTATACTAACTTCTTCATTTGAGCAATCTATGTTTTGGACTGAATTTTTGCATACATATTTGAAATAACACCACTTCTTCATATTATGAACATTTTTGGTATACAAGAATAATAAAAATGAAAAATCTGATATTGAACATTAAAATTTTCACAAAATGTTAGATTAATTCACATCAGCGATGATTAATATATATAATTAATATATTATTTAAGTACTCCATGAAAGAAAATGTTCTTCCCCAAGTACAAAACGACGATTTTTTCCAGAAAAAATACATTCAGGCTGATATTCAATTTTTCGACCCCCATGCTGTAATAAGGTTAATTAATCATCTAAATAATTAGAAGAGTGATTCAAAGTAATAACATCGGATGTATAAGGGATTGAAAAAAGATAAAACAGTAGCATCAATCTCGCAGCACTTCTGAAACAAAAGTTACGAGTATGCAGGCTCCTATGTAAATTTAACATCGCTGGAAACATGTGCAGTCCCTTTCCCTTCCATTGTACTGGTACTAGTTTGTATAGATTGGTACCAGGTAGTCTTTTCTGGAACATTCAAGGTAAATGTTGGGGACAATATCAGTCTCCAGTTTGGATGCCAGGACATGTTACATTCAATTATAAACAAGTACTTATTTGTACAGCTAAGTAGTCTGGAACAGACAAGGCAGAATATCTTAATACCAAATGAAACCCAGATAGGAGAGTCAAAGCTACACATGGAATAAATAAACAGAATAACAAAGTTTTAAACACCACTTTTTGTATCAATATCGTTTTTTATAATATAATGTGAGATATACAGAGATCACAGATGTAATTAGAGTAAAAGTTAGGATGCATGATACACCATTTCTGTTATTTTCAGACGCCTGTGTGTAGACCATGAGAATGTACGCCCCGACATTGTGGTGCTTGGGAAGGCTCTATCAGGAGGAATCCTACCCGTACGTAATACACAAATATAAGTCAAGAGAATTTAGGAGGATCAGAGAAAAACTGCTGTTTAAATAAATAAAAAAAAAGCTGCAATTGTAGTCTCAATCAAATCATCTTAAGTTTACTGTACCAAGTATTTTTTTCCCTATCTATAACCTGAATTCTGCCTTTAAGATCCACCGTATATCTGTCTTGATATTCTGTGCCATTTTTATTTAAAATCAGTAATCAATTGACTTACTGTTTTGTTCAATCCATTTTTACTTCTCAGGTGTCGGCCATCTTGGCTGACGATCCCGTTATGTTGACCATCAAGCCCGGTGAACATGGCTCAACTTACGGAGGAAACCCACTCGCCTGCAAGGTTGCCATAGCAGCACTAGAGGTAAGTCAGACGTGAGAGTCTGTTTTGATACCATTGATAGAGTTTGGAGGGTCCTGGGTTTGAATCCTGGTCTTGCCATGCATTTTTCCACTCCTGTTGCAAAATTGGTGAGCTTGCCAACCTTTGTTACAAGCAGTGGGGGAATGCTTAGCAAGGGGATACCCGAACCTGGCTTGTAAATAGTTTTATCTCATTTCCCTATGTGTAAGATAGAGCTGTCAAGGGTAAGAAAGGGGTGTAGGAAATTTCTATCCTACTGCTAGGCTACACCCCATTTCACGTGACGTGACGTGACAATGGCTCATCAATATGACATGACGTCACAAATTTGGAATCTCCGATTGCGCAATGAGGAAAAGGCATCGTGATGAAACTAAAATCTATTACAATATATTTACCGTACACATTAGAAAGATGAGATGATTTTCTCTGTACAAACGGTGTATGCTGATATGGGGTATGCTAAATCTGGCCGACAGATTCGTTTTTGTCTAAAAACAAATCCAAAAAAAAAAAAATGATATTTTCAAAATGGTAGCCAGTCCAAATTTTCATGGTTTCTGAGCTTCTTCTGGTAGTTGAAATGAGAGAGAAATACTCTTTCATGCCCAATGGTGAAGAATAGGGAAATTCCACCCTCTGGATTTCCCTATCCTACACCCCTGGGCATGAAAGAGACTTATAGTCTTCGGGGGTGAAGACAGAAAAAGAAGGGAGGAATGTAGCCTAACTGGACTGAATTGATTGTCAACGATCAGGTTCTAGGGTAGCTCAAATGGTACAGCATCCATCAAGAGTTCATAGGGTCCTGATCAATGAGTTTTCACTTCTGTTACAATTCTATTGATATTGTTCCACTATAAATAGAGATTCACATGCTTGGTATGTAAATGGATCTCCCTTTTTCAAAAGATACAATTGAGTGAGATAATAATGACCAGTACCAAACTGAGAGACAGTAACGTCCTCTCTATCCAACAGGACAGACGACGTCCTCTCTATCCAACACGACAGACAGCGTCCTCTCTATCCAACAGGACAGACAACGTCCTCTCTATCCAACAAGACAGTAACGTCCTCTCTATCCAACAGGACAGACGACGTCCTCTCTATTCAACAGGACAGACAACGTCCTCTCTATCCAACAGGACAGACAACGTCCTCTCTATCCAACAAGACAGTAACGTCCTCTCTATCCAACAGGACAGACAACATCCACTCTATTCAACAATACAGACAACGTCCACTCTATTCAACAAGACAGTAACGCCCTCTCTATCCAACAGGACAGACAACGTCCTCTCTATCCAACAGGACAGACAATTTTTTCACAAAAAGTTTGTTGCTCGTCTCAATCAACCATCCTGCTGCAATCCATCAATCGCAGATTAAACAATGGGTTCAAAATCGGTATATGGCAGTTTTAAATTGCTTTGCTGGAGATTAAACATATTTTTAGTTTCTCTATTACCACTGCCATTTCCAAAAAATCAATTGAAAATGAGAACCTTTTATCAGTTCTCAGTATATGATGTGTTTGTTGTTCTGTAGGTGTTGGAGGAGGAAAAATTGGCTGAGAGGGCAGAGTATCTGGGCCAAATTCTTCGCAAGGAATTGTCGGAGCTGCCAAAAGATTTGGTGAAGATAGTGAGAGGAAAGGGCCTTCTTAATGCCATTGTCATCAATGAAAGTAAGTTTTATACAACAAGAAAACTTTCAGCTGTCTTTACAAAGTAGCCAATGTTTTCAATACTTCTTCAATTTAAAGTAGGTAAAAAGGTTTAAGTAAACTTAGAGAAAAAGATTATATATTTGGTAGCTTTACGCGGATCGCCCACCAAACAGTTTTCAATCTGTAACTATTGTACCTATGGGACGAGTGATTGATGGTGTAGGTGATCTCCCTTTTATTATAATGTACATCGTACATTTTTTTTTTCTCAACGTTTTCCATAGAAAAAAAATCACTGCTACTATATATAGAGTTTTGGTATCATTGCATACAAGTTAACAATTATAACTACTTGTACATGTTTGTGTTTTCACATTCTAGGATAAAAATGAGGTTGGCATTACTTTACACTTTGATATCATTGCTCTTCCAACTTAATTTCTTACCTCTTGTCATGACTCTTTAAGATAATTGTTCATAATACATCTATTTTTCTACAAGTTGGCTTTTCATTCTTTCTTTAAGATCATTGTTAGTACAACAAGAATATTTTACATTATTGACCCTATAAGTTGCTTTATACACTGAGCGTTTCTGATCGCTACCTTTTGTGAGGGTTCTTAATTTCATCTGCACGAATGCCTTGCCTTGTTTAAGGTCATAGGAGTTGCTAAATGGAAATAGGTAGTACATCCCTAGTTGAAAATCCAATGTACGGAGACAGTACGTATCACAATTTCCGCATATTCTAATGTTTAATATTAAACTGATGAATATTGTATGTTTATTATTGACAGAACAGTGTGTTCTTTAAATGCTAAAGTATTTCAAAGTAATCCAGACTTTAACTCAGTTGTTTTTTAATCAATGAGTCACATACATGTGTCCATTTTTTTTGTACTTCAGGAAACCGGCTACCTATTTCACTAATGTGAAGTTTTTCAAGAACGATAACTCTTACATGCAATTACTACATGTATGTGTATGGATGGTTTTATTATAAAATGTCAATTTTTAATCGTTTATAGATAATTAATTTTACACAATTTCAGCATTTATGAAATTGATATACATTAATGCAATACTAATCTGTGTTATTTTTTTCATTTTTTACATAAATTTCCATTTAAAATCCTTAAAATTCTGACAACCTATATTTTTTTTGTGGCAGAAAAGTTTCTTTACTTCAAAGCAATATAACTACAAAATTTGAAGAAATTCTACTAGGAAATGGCGACACAATCCTATTACCTTAATGAGATATTAGGGTATAGACATTTTCTATATCTTTTTTTATGCCTTCGAGACACAGAATTTATCTTCTCACATTAACTTATTTTGACCTGTCTTATAAAACATTAATGTTTGATAATGATTATCAGGTTAATATTGCTCTGATCGTACTCCCTTTAGTGGGGAAATGATGAATACATTGAATATGGAAAATTGTATAGATCTATTTAAAACTGCTGAAACATTTCCAGCACTACTGTACACACACATTATTTTGGAGAAGCTTTAGTTAAACGGAGTTAACTATAACATTATCTCCAGCAAAACATATTAGAAATGTTACCAAAGTAGGTGCTGAAGACTTTTCGACTTATTAAGCCCCTTGTAAGACAAATAAATAAATAAATATACAACATTTGATATAGTGCCCTATCTAGCTAACATAAGCCACTCTAAAGCACTTTACAGTACATAGATATAAAGTTAATACAATTAGCATATACATTAATCAATACAATTTTGAGGAATTCACAGGAGCTGCCTTATCGGGCACTAACAACTAGTCCTATGCCACCTGGCTAGTATCTCCCTATGTGTGTATGCCTGCATGTGTGCTGGAGATGTAATGTGTGTTAGACAAGCAAGATTAAGAGAATGATTTTGTAACTGACACTGCTCAGGTCTTGATTAAGAAATGTAGAGAGTATAGGATTCTGGCACATTTTTAGCTCACCTGGCACGAAGTGCCAAGTGAGCTTATGCCGTGGCGCGGCGTCCGTCGTCTGTCCGTCCGTCCTCGTCCGTCAACTTTTCCTTTAAACAACTTCTTCTGAAGAACGGACAGGCCTAGAGTCATGATATTTTGCTGAAAGCTTCGTTGGTAGGAGCCCTACAATGTTTGAGAACGAAAATGACCTTGACCTGTTTTCAAGGTCACAGGGGTCAAATATGTCAAAAACTTCAAACGACTTCTTCTAAAGAACTAAAAGGTATAGAATCTTCATATTTGGCTGATGGCTTCCTTGGAT